TGGCCTGTAAGACATAATGTAAATGTAATGTAATGTGCACTTGACCCATCCTGATGCTATACTAAGACGTATGTCAGGAGCAGTGGTTGCCGTAGTAACAGCGCCCAGGAACCCATCTCCAGATGTTGATGCTCGGCTTGGTCAGGAGATATGTATCTTAATTTGATTTTACATAGTGAGCATATTTTTAGTGGTAGGGGAACCCAGAGCACCCAGACGAAAACTATGCAGACACGGGGAGAACATGCAAACTCCACTCAGAGAGACCCTGTTCCGACCGGGATTCGAACCCAGAATCTTCTTGTTGAGAGGCGAGATTGCTAACCACTTAGCCACCGTGCCGCCCTAATCATCAAATTATACAAAGAGTTGGCACATGACACTTTGCTTGCGATAAGTCTGTATCATATTTGGGTTTCATGATTTAATAATAATGCATCGGTTTTATATAGCGCTTTTCTGGACACTCAAAGACGCTTCACATGTGTCATTATTCATTCACTCCATACACGGTGGTGATAAACTACTGCTGTAGCCACAGCTGCCCTGGGGCACACTGACAGAAGCGAGGCAACCAGTATGCGCCATCGGCCCCTCTGACCACCACCAATCATTCACACACACACCAGACTCATTCTAGGCAATGGGGGTGAAGTGTCTTGCCTAAGGACACAACGGCAGTTTGGCACTTTACAGCCGCAGCCGCCCCACTGATTTAAGTCAAATTACAGGAATAAATGTTTTTTGGAAAGACAGTTTAATTTTTTTTGTATTTCACCTGGATTAATATACTGTAAGTGTGCCAGACCCAGAACTTCGACCAACATCAAAGTCAATGGTCTATTTTCCTGCTTTGGGTTGAGGAGTAAGTAACACACACATCATTTATCGCTCCACAGCTTTTACAAAAACATGGATTTTTATGATGTCAATGCGTCTGTAATATGGTGCTGCATGTCATTGAACAAGAGAGGAATCATGAGTAAACAAATCTCCCTAACACAGCGTCTGCCTTAATAATATACACATAGGTTCTATAGGAAAAGAAATGAAAAGAAAGCTTGAATAATTTTCTTTTGAGAATCGAGTGCTTTGTAAAACTGTGTGCATACAATAAATCCCAAACGTCCGCAATCTCCGTCAGCTCCAACACGCAGAATTCCCTTTAACGTGTACTGTTCTTCTAAGTTGGCCACTTCATAGTGAGAATCCATTTTTACAGAAAAATGAATGAATAATTAAACTCCAAAATGTGGTCTGTGACTGACCTGAAAAAAAAAATTATAATTCTGATGCTGAGTTCAGGCTGGTTAAACATTAAAACCTCATTATGAGATCTCCTCTGTGGAGATGTGTGTATTTCAGTATTTGGCCCATATTACTTAGCATAGTTTGAATCCTTGCACTGCTTAAAAATAAACTATAGTAATAAATAAATGATTGAGCCCTTCTTACCCTGATTCAAGAATATGTCTTATTGAATGTCAAAAAAAATCCTATTTCTATGGCAATTTAATTCTTGTTCCAAATGGGAATCTCTCTGTTCTTGCTACAATTACATATTTATTCAAAAACATGCTAGCTTTGGGTCTTTTCTCCTCTATCGTCCCTTTCGGACTGAGGCCACAGGATCATGACAATTCCTCCCTCACTGTTCCTTTGACTTCACTTCCAGATTAAACTATCATCTCCATAATCCTTGTGTCTTTACATAATCTGGTCCCTTGCATAATCTTCTGACCATTACCAACACAAGGTCAAATCCTGCTTTCGTGCACACAGCTCCAGGTCTCATAAAACAATGGCCTAAAAAGGTTTGGGCGATGTGAAAGGAGGAAGTTCACAGAGAGGGCGAGAGGCTGCATCTGCGAGAGGAAGTTCAACAATTATATGCATGAGAAATTAGGTCTAACTTTGACTGGGTTATTATTATACATTCAGAGCGAGCCAGCAGTAATCCAGTAAATGAGATCTAAGGAATTCACACAGGTTTCAGGGTTTTTTCAGATCTTTTGAGCTTGTAAACACTGATGATATTCTCTTCTATTAATTTGGGTGCCTGAATTTCACAGAAAAGAAGTACTATACAGACTGCAAAGAGGGTTAAAAAGTACAGAAAAAGCAGTGCAGTGTTGAAATGTTGGTGAATAGGAACAGAAACAAACAACTTAATTTCACAATTTAAAGGAAAGAAATGTCTTTCAACAAAAAGGTATTATGTTCCCCTTTAACAATTTAAGTTCCAATGCAACAAAAACACATTTGACACATTCAGGAGTAAAATAAAGGCAGAATATGTTTGATAATATTGGGAAAAATTGTCACCAAATGTCCCAAAAGTAAAGAAAACAAAACAGATGAAAGAATAAAATATTTTTTGCTGTATCAGCTTGTTCAACGAGTTGAATAAGCGGCTCTTGCCACCTCTGCGCAAACACAGTCTGTTTGTGAAAATAAAGCTATTTTACATCAAGTCCTTTGAAGAAAAGGGTCGATGGTTTGTAGATCCATCTTTAGTCCCGTGTTGTCAGAAGGCACAGGCACAGACAACAGCCACCACTACTATGTTCCCGATAGTGGCCAGAACAGCCACCCACAGCCAGATAGTGTCACTGTTCACCTTCCCATCATCCTCTGCTTCTGACGGCCTGGAGCAGGCTGTGTTGAGGTTGGATGTGGAGGTCTGGAGCGACGCATTGCCGTTGTACGGAGAATCCATGAGAGCTCCGCTCACAGCCGGATACTGCTGGAGCAACACAAACACACGATTTAGAAAGTTATTAAAACATATAGAAGCATTACAAAAAACCTTCTGGATTTATGCAAATATGAGAATAACGCTCCAGATGAACCGTTGCTTCTCCACGTCGAGAGGAGCCAGTTAAGGTGGCTCGGGCATCTGTTTTGGATGCCTCCCTGGGGTGGGGGCTTGTCCCACCGGGAGGAGACCCCAGGGACAACGCAGGACATGTCGAGGGACTCTATCTCTCTGCTGGCCTGGGAACATCTCGGGCCAGCTGAGAGATACAGCTCAGTACAGTTTGTACACCCTCCTTTTAACACATCTGTACAATATACTGTATAACTTTTGTGACATTTAAGGCCAAATAATACTTTGTAGATATGCAAGCTATGTCCTTGTTTGCACAGGAAGGACATTCGGATCAAAGTTTATGTATGAATGCACCTCTGTGCTGCTAAAATCTTCCTGGAAATGTGAGACAGGCCTCTACTCTGACAAAGTTCAAATACAGGTGAGAAGTTGTGTTTAGCTGTGCAGAAATATTTTGTTTGCACTGTGATTCTTTACAATTCCCCCTGTTTTTTCTTGTTTTGTCAAGCACTTTGAGTTTCTTTGTTTCTGACTCTGAACTGTAAGATACACATTATTTGTCCTCTGCATTTGACCCATACTGTAATGCCGCTAGGGCCTCTGTCAGGAGCAGTGGTCGCCCAGGGACCCATCTCCAGATGTTTGGCATGGCCAGGATTGGAGCTGGAAGATTTACCTATCGTACATGGTTTTAGTGGTTGGGGAAACCGGAGCATCTAGAGAAAACCTATGCATACATGGGGAGAACATGCATACTCCACTCAAAAACACCCTGATAGTTTGTTAGTTAGATAGTTAGTTTATTTATTTTCTCTTCATTCATACTACAATAGTCAACAATTGCGATTGGTTTTCAAACTCAGAAGCTTTTTTCTAAGTAGTGAGAGTGCTAACAACCAGACCTCACTCTCACTGGCTCAACAAATTGTCACTGACCCCCAACACGTCCTGGGGACTACGAGACCCTGCCCTCAGGACGTCACTTTAGGCCGTGAGACACAAGACAGACCGCTTCAAGCTTTCCTTTGTCCCAACATCAGTGGCATACATTCATAACTATTTCACTTTTTTTATCCTGTACCTATTATTTATTTTGATGCGGAATTGGACCAAACAGAGACTTCAAACAGTACTGCACTTTCCTGTTTATGTTCTTTTCCTGTAATTGTCCTTTTTATCTTCATTAATTAATGCAGATCTGAGTAGCGCTGCATCCCACTGCAAATTCCCCTTGGAACAAAAAGGTTTATCTTATCTTATATTTTTAACAACGGTGCCACAGAGCCGCCCAAACAATGTATGTGCTATACAAATACATTGCCTTATTTCATGGAAGATTGGTGGTGGCAGAAAATAAAACAAGACATCTGAATCGCTATCTAAGAAGAAGAGTGATTGCGTGGGGCAGTAACATGTTGATGCTGTTTGCTTCTTGTGGTGCTGTGCATGAGTGAGCAGAGATGATGCGGTGGAGCAGACAGCTGTTACAGTGAGGTGAACTCAGCCTCTCCAGAGACGTCTCTGTGGCGTTCTGACACATGCTACACTACATATCCCATAATGTAGTGAGGACAGAGACGTGATCCTGAGCTCCAAGCAGCATTCCTCTGCTGTCCTGGTGCTGTCCTGCTTTATGTGAAGGGCTCCCATACCTGCTTCTTGGGATGGGTAAGTTAGTGCTTTGTTTGAAATGCTGCTCAATATACTGTATAATAGGGCTGGGAAAAGGAAATTCAATATTCAAACATTGTTTGAAAATAACAAAAAATAATGACATTCAAACAAATATTAGACAGCCCTTAAAGTAGCAATATGTAAGATTTTCATGTCAAGTCATCATTAAATGGCTCTAATCTGTCAAAAGGCGTTAAATAAACACCGCTCTTTTCAAATCCTTTTTTAACTGATTACAGTAGTTCAGCCGAGATATTTGGATTTCAAAATAAGCTATAGTTTTCATTTTGATGTCCCACCCTCCAGCATTTTACTAAACAGAAAGTCCGTGATCCAGGTTGCCAGAACTCACCTCATCGAGCTAATCTCACTGGAAAAGTATCATACATTGAGACCAAGATCTAATGTACAAGGTCTCGTTATGATTCTCAAATCATTAATAACAAAACAAGAAATAAAACGAGGATTTCTATTGGGGCTTTTGTGAAAAAGGTGTTGGTTATAGATTTGTCGTCGACAAAACTCTTGTCTATTCACAAATTATGGTCCCAGCTGGATTTGTCTGCATATCTGGCAACCTGAGACAGGGAGAGTGCAGCACCTCTTTTACATACTGCTCCTTTGATATTAGAATATTGAATTGACATGATTTTTGTATGCATTAGCTAGCAAATGTAGATTTTTTGCTTCAATCACAGTAAAGCTTAGATAAATGATCCTGTTTTATCTGTGCGCACAGGCCGTGTATGCCGGCACCAGTTATTACAGTTATTGTTTTTGTTATACCAAGGGATACAAGCATTTATTGGGCAAAATGTAAATACATTTTAAAATAGCCCGTCCGTTGTATTTCTCAATATGTGGGTCTCCTCGAGGTTTCTCACCTGTTTCCCACTGGGTTTTTGTGAGTTTTTCCTCTGATGCAGGAGTGTCTGTTTGACAGTTAGTGTCCAACTAGATGGACTGTGGTGATGATCCAGGACACTTTAACATTCTACAACATGTATGACATTTATCAACATGTGTTCTATATTCTTTATGTGTTTTCACTGTTGACTCTCTGATCTGTGTTGGTGATTTCCATGGTTTTGTTAAGTCTCTGAGATGACTTCTGTTGTGATTTAGGGCTATAAATTGTATTGTATTGTAAAATATATTTTAAGTTTGATATTAATAAAACAATGACATTCGAAGGAAATTACTACTACTACTACTACTACAGCTAATACCAGTGCTCCTAATAATGATAATAATAATATAACGGGCATTAGGATATTAAACCATTGGTTGTCAACATACCTCAACTCAACCTCTGGTCATTGGCTCCACTCAACATGACAACTGTTGCCTGCATATGTCCATCACTCCCCTTCATTCATATTATCGCCTCACACACACACACACACACACACACACACACACACACACACACACACACAAACAAACACGTACATGCAAACACACACATATGGTATGCAGGCACAAACACACACACACACACACACACACACACACACACACTTACAAGTTTCCAATGTAAAAGATAAGATCTATTGGCAAACTATACACAGCAACTATCCAGTCAAAACCAGGTCTGATGAACCTGGGAAACACAAAGCTGCTTTAAAGCTACACTGTGGAACTTTCTGACATCACATGTTGGCTCATTCATTCAGAACTGAAGTGACACTGGGGTTAAAATCTGCTTGCATAATGGATGACAAAACTTTAAAGAGCACTCACATCTGTTATTAAATATGTATATTTAATCCTGCTCCTAGTGAGAATTTTAAGCACCGGAGAGGAGATTATTGTGTTCAGCAGGCTCCCGATGTGCGCCTGCTAGCTGCAAAACAAAACCAAAAGGGCATCCAGGCAAGTGCGCGTGTGACCTATGAATACATTCTCCACAGGGCACAGGGAGAGCGCTGACCAAAAGAAACATCCAAATATATGAATATGTAAATTTCAATGGATTTTATAATGACGTAAGTGACAGCTGTGTCTGTTATCCCTATTTGACAGCGCCATATGTGTAGAATGTGTCCTAATTCTTTGGCCCCCCCCCCTCTCTCTCTCCCTAAAAGAGCACAGACAGTTTTGTTATATTTTCCATATTTATTGAAAGCATCTTATATCTTAAAGGTAAAAACAATAACTTTAATTCATAAATGTTTAATAGTAAAAATAATACAATGGATTCTGCTTTACACTATTGAGAGTTAAATTGAATTAATATTATCATGAAAATATAATAAAGCCAACCAATTTCACCGCATTTGAAATCACTGGGTTGCAACTAATTACTGCCAACTCATTACTTCCAGCAAGTCAGGTGAAGAAATTAAAAGAAAAGATGTAATGAACTATTTGTCTAATTATAATACATGTTTTATGCAAATATATTCATTTTATATAGATATATTCACTAGTGTCATAAAGAGGCATTTTATATACGCCAGATTCACAAATATATTTTACCAAGTGAGACATACAGTACTTTCTGACTGAGACAGACTAAGAGCTGGAGTAAGAAAAAAATAAAGTCAGTATAGTAACAGTAAATCCAGACCAAAATAATAGACACAAATAGTAGTTAGAGCAATGTACCTATAAGTGCAGAGATGCTGTCTTTGCCCTGTCCCGCGGTCAGTGTCCTTGTGAGAGCGTCCCGTCGTGTGGAGTGAGAGTGTGCAGCGAAAGGAGAGAGAAGTAGACCTCATGCCGTCTGTCAGTGCGAGCGCAAGTGTGTGTGTGTGTGTGTGTGTGTGTGTGTGTGTGTGTGTGTGTGTGTGTGTGTGTGCAGCCGGTATTCAGCATGATGCGGGGACTGGGGTCTGTACACACACTCTCTTCATGAGGACCTTCTACGTTGTAAAAGCAGGTTCCCATGATGTCAATCAGTCAATGTGAGATCACGAAATGTGTTTAAAGCAAGAATTTTGGAAAGTTTGCGGGTAAAATAGTTTGTTTTTGTTATGTATGTATTTTTTAAACTGCCTCTTATACTGCTTCAAATTGGTTTCCCATTAAAAACATACCGAGAACTGCCACTGCAAAACTGTTAGAAGCGTTGCTGATTATCCAAAAACATATATTTTCTTTCTTCTTCAATTAACTTGAACTGAAAGCAAATAGATTGTGTGTCCAGTTAAACCAGATTCATTCAACGGGGCCACTGTAAAGTTAATGAATGATCCTATGTTGGATCAATACATACAGCTAATGTTCTATTAATGTCCCCAAAAATCCAACAGTGCACGTGCGGTAGGATTAAAGAGAAACACTTTCATCTGCAGAACACCTGAGCCTTTGTGTTTGAAATAGACAACAGTGGAAATAATCGCGTGACGTAAAAAAAAGGATGAGTTTGTTGGTTGGTGGTTCAATATTTAAGAATGTATTGTATGTTGTTGGTAAAATGAGCAGTTCCTTGGTGGAAAAGTCAGCTAACTGCTTGTGGAAGTGCAAACTCTTCCACAATCATAATGAACAATGTCATTGATCATTATGTTCCAATGGTTTGAAATGCCAGTATTTTTTTATTGTAAAGTATATTGTGAAGGCTCAGTTGGAAGGTCCTGGGGAGTTAAGTTAAGGGATACTTAAATTTGTCCTCTGTATTGGACCCATCCTTCTATTGCCACTTGGCCTTTCTGTCACAGCATGATCAGGACGACCATTGCTGGAGGATGTTACTTATTACACATGTTTTAGTGGTATAGGATAAACTCTACACACACGGAGAGAACATACAAACATGTATTCAAACCAGAGAAGCGAGAGTGCTAACCACTGTGCCACTGTGCCGCCTTAAAAAAGTGGTATAGAAAATGTAAACAGTCTTGTCTTCTCATTGGTTCAAAGTAAAGTAACATAAATTATAATTGCTGTGTTCAATCCCAGACCATCTGTGAACTCTTCTCCCAAGAGATCTTAAGAAAGTGGGCCAGGACATTTGTGCACACAGGTACATGGAGTGTATGTACTTTTTATGGTCACATGTGTTCAAGTACATGACGTTATGTAACAAACAAAATGCTTTTTGTGTTGATATCAAACCTTGTTAACGGCTGCAGCTGAAATTATCCCCATATACAGTATGTTGACTTCCCATTCTACAATTGTACTGCAGTTGGGGCAGGTGCAGTACAAGTCTATAGGAAAAAATACATTTTTGAAAGGAATGTTGATAAAGTTATTATTATTTGATACTGATTAGATTAATAACTATGCCATATAATGTCTATGTCGAAGTTTGAATTCAGCTCATTAATTGTGCGTTGCCAGTTTTTTGTACAAGTCTTCTGCTAAATACAGAGTCATGTTGTATTTGTTATAATCCTACTAATGTCTGTAAGGAATTTTCTTAAAGACATGTCATACACTTTTAAAAGTATTTGTGAAAAAAACTTTGTATACACTTTTTATAAGAAAATATTTAGACCTTGATATGAGCTGACAAAGAAGATGTGAAACTTTGTGACCGTTTTTGTTTCATGTGAATGGACCAAAGAATTAGTAAATAGCCTGTGACAGGGATTTATAGTCTGTCCGTGGCAGCTGATCCATTTCTCATGTGGGCATCCTCGAGGTTTTGCACTTTTTCCCCCCAGTGGGTTTATTATTATTTTTTGGTTCAAAACAATTATGGATTTTTACTAATATTTATGGACATTGATCATCCCACTCTGTAGGACCACTGACTCATTTGTGTTTGCTATAATTGCATTTCCCGTGTTCAGAGAATTCTGTGTTTGATTCTCTGGTCTGTTGTTGGTTAATCAACAACTTTGTAAAGTCCTCTGAGACGACTGCTGTTGTAATTTTGGGCTAAACAAAAATACATTGAATTGAATAGAATTAGATTAGTTAGTTGCTATTTGCCCCACCCATAATACTGTGGGGTTTAATGTTGAAAATCTATGGGAACAGTAAGTGTCAGTCCTGAGAAGGCTGAGAAGGAAGTCTGTGCTGAGCACACTAATGGAATTATATGGGGAGCGCTCATTTTACATTTCTCTGAGGGTTTATGGAAGTGAACTTGAAAATGTTTTATTGTGTCCATTGAATCGATAAGATAAGATACATTTTATTGATCTCACAATGGAGATATTTACAAATGGATAGTCTTGGACCAAATAAGTCTGACTTTTACCATGGTTACCAGGCAAGATGTTGACCGCTGCCTTGCACCACAATTTAAACTATAGGCTCTTTGGAATATTGTGATGTCACATGAACGCAGCCTATTGCAGCAAAGCGCTTGGACCCCAGAATAATCAAAGTGACAATCCGGTGCTTGAGGATATATCAAACCAGGACGATTTGAAAAGAAAACTGAAATCTGCCCCATAATTAGGCAAGAACGGCCAATTTATGAAGCATCCCACTCACAAGCTATTCGTCTGACAAGCATTAGAGCAAGTTTGACGTCAAAAATGCTCGCGGGCAGTGGGAATGTTTCACCCCAGTGCACTTGGGATAGCACATACTAGCCAAGAGCAGGCTTGGATTTGCATTAGAATCATGCTGTTTAAAGACTTGGGATTTGGGTCTCCATCTGTGATTGTCTAGACTGAAACGTAAGGAACTAGAAAAGACGGTTGGAGAGGGATGAGCAGCCTCCAAGCATCCAGATGTGTCTTCATGTCCAGAGCATATGTTGGAAGGAAGGAAAACATACTAGTCAAAAGGTATTACAATAGAATGCAATTGGCTGAGCCTGTGTAACTAGACTTTATAACACAAGTCACAAGGAAGTTTTAACATTCCATGACTTCACATTAGTTTCAGTTTTAGTTTGAACAAAGGAAATGAGCCAATAATAACAAACACATACCAGACATTGATCTATATAGGGAGTGGAATGACCAATGTTCATGAACGTCCGCACATTTCCTTAAACATCAATGTCCTGAGACCCTCTTGCGTCGGTATCGAATGACTCAAAAAAGAACGAGTGGGGAAAAAGTGAGAAACCTCAGGGAGCCACACATTGAGAAAGAGAGAGTTCTGCTCCCAAGGCCAGACAGGCAATAGATCCAGAACACAGGCTCAGGTGAAAAATGAAACACAAAGTGGAGTAGACAATACTGTGGATCTTACTCTAAAATATGTTTCAACCCAAATATGTACATGACGAATATTCAACAGAACACGTTTATAATTGCTTTTCTCAACTTTTAGAGACCAGAATGCACTTTTCCCATCTTCCACTCCTTGTTTCTGTGAGAATAAAAATCTCCATCAAATGCAGACAGAAATTTTTTTTTCTAGTTATTTTTTCTTTTGGGGAAAAACATATTGTTCTCAACTATGGGAAAACTGCAGTTGTTTCGCTGATTTGATTTGAACGATGGATGAGGAGTGGATTATTGCTCTATGGTTCACTTTGTTCTCCACAGATGCAAGGTAGAAGTCTTTGCACTTATTCCTTCATACTCATGTACTCTGTTTTAGCTCTTTTTATTAGCTTTCTTGTTGTATAATCCAGGATGTGCTGGTTTTGAGCTAGCTAACAATGACTAATGCAATGTAAAGTGGATATCCAGTGCTACATTATTCACTTTCATTCAATCAAGGCTACGCCAGACTGACTGTATCTAAAGAATGCATAGACGTTCTAAATGGACAGGCTACGTTAATGATTCACTCTCTCATACAGAATTTACAGCTGAGAGAAGTACACCAGCACATGAAAAAGTCATGTTTGTAATGAGGTCACAAAATACCTTTCACAAAAGTTTCAGATGGAGATATTAAAACCAGAAGAGACAAGGTAAGAGGAGGCAGCTGAATGTTTTATATGTGATCGAGCGATGGGACTGTATCTTTAGGGAACAGGCATCGCAGCAATTAAGGCTTTCCAAAGAGAGGTGTGCGTCCATCTGTCCAGCTGGATGTGCATCAGAGCTGGAGGACGACAGAGAGAGAGAAGAGCAGTTTCATTCTCTGTGGTGTGACCTCACAAAGTAATACTGATGCATGATATGAATAAGGAAACATATACATTATGTTTGATTTATGTAAAAAGGGCTCTCGTTTTAAAGCTGAGGTAAATAAGTTTTAAACCACAGATGAATCAACTATACAATAAGATCCGTATCTTGCTACAAGGGAGATAGGATGTATTTCTGAACGATTCGATTTAGTAATAGAGGTCCTTTATCTAAAGCCTAGCGTACATCGACAGAGTAACTGGAGACAACAAGTTGCAAGGCGGCTTTTGGCAACTGAGAGCAGATGATGGAGATGATCAGTTGCCGAAATCGGTCGATGTGCGCGCTCTTACAACTGGAGATAAACAGTCGATCTCCGGATTCAGTCAGTTGCCCGTGTTCTACTTTTCGGCAACTAGTTGTCCTCAGATCTGGAGATATCACGCGATGTGCTCCAACAACATGTGTGTATTGCGTGTATTGCACGCTCTCTACAGTTTATGTCAGAAAACACACTGTAGTTGAGGCCAGTTGCTGTTATTCCCCAGACTGGCCTGATACAGGAGTTGCCTGTTTTCGTCAGACTGTCGATGTGTGCGGGGCAGAAACTCATAGGCCACGGATATAATCAGTTGCCAGTCCGATAAGCATAATGCTCAATCCCATTCTCACAAAAATACAACACTATTTATGCATTAATTTTCATTTTTTGGAGATTAATAGTTGTTAAAGTCCAAATATCTCAATGTAGATACTTTCAATCTGAATATTATCATTTTATTTTTATTTATTTTTATTTGCAGGGACATACAGGTAGCTATTCAGGCAGACATACAGGTAGATACAGACAGACATACAGGTAGATACAGACAGACATTCAGGTAGATACAGACAGACATACAGGTAGATACAGACAGACAGACAGGTAGATACAGACAGACAGACAGGTAGATACAGACAGACATACAGGTAGATACAGACAGACATACAGGTAGATACAGACAGACATTCAGGTAGATACAGACAGACATACAGGTAGATACAGACAGACATTCAGGTAGATACAGACAGACAGACAGGATGAATAATGAGTATTATTTTCAATAAAAATAAAAATATGAGCTTGTATATATATTTTTTTGCACATCCCTCGCCCAAAGTGTCAAATAATGACTTTCTTAAAGTCTGCAGAAGATGAGACGAAGGACGCACATTGTGATCGGATTTGTTCAGAACATTTTACTTTTACAAGACTCTTTCGGTTGCGACAAACTTGCGACTTATTTATGAAACAAAAAAGTTAGGTAACCCAGCTTTAAACATACTTTTTCACTCTATTTGCTGGTTTGCAGGGATAAGTTAGTGTATACTTAGTTATGATATTGCCTTTCCAGTCATTTTGATGTATCATTAATTATTAAAAAGATTGAAAGAATGAGACAAAAAGCTAAAGGAAGGAGACGGGGCAGAAAAATGTGTGCATGTAAAAAAAAAAACCTTGATGGTGTGTGAAAGAGATTGTAACTGTAATCCTCTTGGGGCAAATGAAAACCCTGTCATTAAAATGATGCACAAATAAATCATGTTGTGAGGAAGTGCTGAACATTTTGCCCGTCGGGGTTAAATATACATCTACATTTATATAACTCTGATTGTCAGTGTTTTTAATCTGCCTCGCCATCCGCCCATGAATAAACCATCAGAGACTTTCTGTGCATTGTGCGTGCGACATGACTCATGTTGAGTTTACAGTTTGGGAAAGAACAACTTTAACTCAAAAGGTTTCAACACATTATTGCCAGAAAGACATACAGGGTTATGTTTAAGAACTGGGGTTGGTACGACATATAAAAGAGAGAAGCTTGCGAAGGGAATGAAGAGATTCCAAAAAATATGATCATACTGTGTTCTTTTAATATTCAACCCTCTGCAAGAAACTTACAAACTTAGAAACTGGGAATCCAAAGAAAGTATAACGATTGTTCTATAACTTTCTCCCATGCACAATATAATGTATGTATGATGTCAAAGTAAGTAATGTGTCATAAAGTAACAACGTTTGATGGTCTGACAGTAGATCGAATTACTACTGTAGTAGTAGTAGTAGTAATCTTTATTTATATACCGCCTTTTCACTGCAGATCTGAGTCTCAAAGCGGTTTACAATTGTTAATTTTTGGGCATTTGTTTCTTACTCCACACAGAGATGAGAGCAGAGTCGCCAGTACAGGACGCGCATGCTAGAACTATTGGACATATTTTTAGTGGTAGGGGAAACCGGAGTACCCGGAGGAAACCTACGCAGACACGGGGAGAACATGCAAACTCCACTCAGAAAGGCCCTGGTCCGACCGGGATTCGAACCCAGGACCTTCTTGCTGAGAGGCGAGAGTGCTATCCACTCAGCCACCGTGCCGGTCACTGTAAATTTGACCAAAACCCAATCAATTCAATTCATTTTATTTTGGTGTAACCCTACAGCAGTCGTTTTGGAGGATTTGTAAATAGATCAGACAATCAAACACAGGAAATGCAGTTATGAATGGGGCACTTCCTTAATGTGACTGTATAATCACTATAATATGTGACATCACGTTTAAGAAGATAAACTTTCTGTTCTTTTGTGATTCTGCCCGTCGTCACAGAACTTCTGCAGTGTGATTAAGGAGCAGACACAGACACACCTGATTAAGTACAAGGGACCAGATGGTTATCAGATGAGGTTCTCCATCACCGTACCTCTGTCAGACAGAGTTCAAGTACACACACACAAACTCTAAGAGACGCACACACATTAACTCACACTCCCATAGACGCACACACACAAACATGCAGGCACACACACACTCCCCCCCACACACACACACACTCAATTATGCTCAAAGAATTCAGGGGATACTTTGGAAAAAGTTTTGTTTTCACCAGGTGGCTGAGCTTTTTCACTTCTCAGAAAGAAGGTCCTGGATTTGTATCCGGTCGGAGCAGGGCCTTTCAAATTGGAGTTTGCATGTTCTTCCCGTATCTGCGTATGTTTCCTCCGGGTGTTCTGCATGTACAATAGATGTAGTTGAATTACTTGTTTCCCTAAGGTACAATTAGGATGGATATTTCTTATTATAATGCACTATTTTGGGGGGAAATTGAGAATGATTTTTGTTTCACTTTTTCTGTATTTTTATATTTTTTCTGATTATAGATTGACATCACAGATTTTGTTGTTGTATTTGCACTATACTAAAACTAAATATAAGAACACATAAATTACAATTTCACAGATTCAATTCTGAACAGTAGTGACTGGGCTAATTTTCGGTTCTCCCAGTCTCACAAACACACACTATTATTTGTTATTAGGGGAGTGTGAGTGATGATGGCTTTTGGACAAACTATCCAGAGAGTGTAGTAATACAGTATAGGAGTCAAATAAAAGGGTACATTAAGGCTTTGTATGCAGATGGCCTCCGACATCTTCTATGACGCACACTTTTTGTCCACATGGTTCCAGGAGCAGGAGCTGAGAACATGCACTGATTTGAACCAGTTATGTCACTT